GAGAGAGCAAGACAGTTCAATAAGTGCGTGTATGTATATATGATTCTCTCTCTCTCCCTCTCTCTTTCTCTTCCCTCGTTCCCTCTTTCTCTCTCTTCTCTCTCCCTCCCCTCTCTCTTCTCTCTCACTTCCCTCTCTCTTCTCTTTTTCTCTCTCTCTTCCTTCTCTTTCTCTCTCCCTCTTCCCTCCCCCCCTCTCTCTCTCTTCCCTTTCTCTCCCTCCCCCCTCTCTCTTTCTCTCCCTTCCTTCTCTCTCCCCCCCCTCTCTCTCTCCCTCTTCCCTCTTTTTCTCTCTCTATTCCCTCTCTCTCTCTTCCCCCTCTCTCTCTTCCTTCTCTCTCTTCCCTCTCTTTCACTCTCCCTCTTCCCTCTCTCTCTGCCTCCCTCTTCCCCCTCTCTCTCCTCTCTATCACTTTCACTCTCCCTCTTCCCTCTCTCTCTGTCTCCCTCTTCCCTCTCTCTCCTCTCTATCACTCTCTCTCTTCCCTCTCTCTTTCTCTCTTTTCCCTCTCCCTCTCTCTCCCTGTCTCTCTCTCTCTTTCCCTCTCTTTCCCTCTTCCCTCTCTTTCTCTCTCTTTCTGGGCAGCAGGAAATGTGGACAGGGGGTGGTGCAGTCCCATATAATCTATCAGTGATCACGTATCATCTGCTGAATGGACAACAAGAGGGAGGGCCCAGACAACACAACACAGCTCACCTCCTCCTTGCTCTTTTCTCTCTGTCACTTCTCCTCTCCCTGCTGCAGGAGTTCCCCTGGTCCTGGCTCTAAGTGCGGGTGGGGGAAGAAGCTCAGCAGAGAGCGGCCACTCAGGAACACCAGGGCACCCCCTCCATCCAGCTAGGTCTGTCTCTCTCTCTACCAGCAGAAAGCTGATAGGAGGGAGAAGGGGAGAAACCTCAAACCGGCTTTCAGCTGCTGGAGGGAGAGATACACAGTGCATCGTTCTGCAACTGCTCTCCCCCACCACACCGATCCTCCTGCTGTCTGGGCCACCTACAGGAGTACCGGTCCAACACAACAAACACTTTACTCCTGCGCTAGGAAAGGACTCAGTAGACCCAATAGGAATGTTCTGGAATTTTCTGGAATATGCACTGCTTGCTGCCCTCAACAGACCGGGGTGGTCCGAATACAGTGGATACAGTGGTCATTTGGCCATTTGGTCATCCGGGGGTTCCATCGTATGGACTCAGATGTTGTTTGGATCATACATCTTGTTCAGTTTGACATGTGTTATTATGTCCATTGTGAGTATGATAACTATTTTTGTTTCTTTAATAAATTATTTTTTAAACGATAATGCACTAGGTCGGTGCGCCCTTTTTCTGTTTCTCCATTTGTACCCCTCAGATAATGACCTTTCATGGCTCAGTCCACTGCTGCTCAACAGGTCTCTTCTTCTGGGGGGGGGGGGGTGGCCATGCTGCCCCTCTAAAAATTACCGCCCTAGGCAAACACCTTGTTTGCCTCGTGGTAGATACGCCCCTGGATACAGGTTTGGGGAGCAATTGAGGGGTACATTTTTCAAAATAATAAAAATGTTTGATATGTGCAAAACCAATAACTGTTAATCCTGCCAGAAAACTTGTGAGCTGATAGCATCCTTTGCACATTAGAATATCAAGTGGTTGTTTGGCGATATTTCCCATCATGCCAGGGCAGCTTCTCTATCTGCAGCTCCCTCTCCGCGATGTTATACCCCCATGATTGGTAGTTAGTTCATTACTTTTACAAACTCTTAAATAGTATCAGAGGATGAACACTCACTAAAAATCCATGATAATTCCATGCAATGCTGCTTTCGAGCAATTAATCGTTTCATCATTACAACAAGGTACATCTGCATTATCCTCTGGGTACAGTAATCAGTGTAATTGAATCTCTGTAATCACCAGTCATGGGATTGAACCATGGAGACATCATTTTCCCTTACCATCTCTGTATGGAATTTTTATTTGCACAAATGAATTCCTTATAATTCCTTATAAAAGGGAGCAATTCCATTCACATGGGAAAGGCACACTGACAGACCGTGAGTATGGAACATGCACCTTATTTGCTATCTTTAGGTCCTTTTTGTCCTCTCATAGCATTTCTTCATTAGAAGGGATAAGATTCTAATAAAATTGGTTCAACCAGTAATCCTTCAGATTCAGATTCAGTATACTTTATTAATCCCAAAGGTAAATTACGAAGGTACCAATACATTCAGACAGCAAGGGTAGTTTTAAAATTATTAAAAGAGAGAACTTTGCTGGACTTGGATACATAAAAAAATCCTCTAGTATGCATAGAGGGTAACTCCACTTTTGTGGGAAAAAATTTGCAAAAAAAAAAACTTACATAGCATATACAATTGTGACACAAGTCATATTGTGAATGGATGTTATCAGAAATTACCTTTCCTTTTCAATCTGCAGCGCTACAATTTTCATTTAAAGTGTGATAGTGCTGAAAGCTGAAATGTGGCCTGGACTGGAAGGGGCTGAAAGTGTCAGGACTGGAAGTGGGTGAGAGTGTCCGGACTGGAAGGGGGTGAAATTGTCCAGACTGGAAGGGGGGGAAAGTGTCCGGAAAGGGGGGGAAAGTGTCCGGACTGGAAGGGGGTGAAAGTGTCCGGACTGGAAGGGGGGAAAGTGTCCGGACTGGAAGGGGGGAAAAGTGTCCGGACTGGAAGGGGTGAGAGTGTCCGGACTGGAAGTGGGTGAGAGTGTCCGGACTGGAAGGGGGTGAAAGTGTCCGGACTGGAAGGGGTGAGAGTGTCTGGACTGGAAGTGGGTGAGAGTGTCCGGACTGGAAGGGGGGGGAAAGTGTCCGGACTGGAAGGGGGGGAAAGTGTCCGGACTGGAAGGGGGGGAAAGTGTCCGGACTGGAAGGGGGGGGAAAGTGTCCGGACTGGAAGGGGGGGAAAGTGTCCGGACAGGAAGGGGGGGAAAGTGTCCGAACCGGAAGGGGGGGAAAGTGTCCGGACTGGAAGGGGGGGAAGTGTCCGGACTGGAAGGGGTGAAAGTGTCCGGTCTGGAAGGGGGGAAAGTGACTGGAAGGGGGGAAAGTGTCCGGTCTGAAGTGGGTGAAAGTGTCCGGACTGGAAGGGGGGGAAAGTGTCCGGACTGGAAGGGGGTGAAAGTGTCCGGACTGGAAAGTGTGTCCGGACTGGAAGGGGGTGAAAGTGTCCGGACTGGAAGGGGGGGGAAAGTGTCGGACTGGAAGGGGTGAAGTGTCCGGACTGGAAGTGGGGAGAGTGTCCGGATGTACTGGAAGGGGTGAAAAGTGTCCGGACTGGAAGGGGGGGAAAGTGTGGAAATGACCGGACGAGGAAGGGGTGGAAAGTGTCCGGACTGGAAGGGGGGGGAAAGTGTCCGGACTGGAAGGGGGGGAAAGTGTCCGGACAGGAAGGGGGGGAAAGTGTCCGGACTGGAAGGGGGGGAAAGTGTCCCGGACTTGATGGAAGGGGGGGAAAGTGTCTTAAATGGACTGTAGTGAACTTCTGCAAAAAAGCTTGAAGTGGGTAAAAAAAGGGGGTGAAAGTGTCACATGTGCGGACAGTGAAAGGGGGGGAAAGTGTCCGGACTGGAAGGGGGGGAAAGTGTCCGGACTGGAAGGCAAAGTGTCCGGACTTGAAGTGGTTAAATGGACTGTAGTGAACTTCTGCAAAAAAGCACTAAAAAACACATTGGTGTGAAAGGGGAAATTGCACATTTTTTCTGACTTAACCTCCCTGGCGGTCTGATTATTTCAGATTTTTGGTGCTGAAAGCGGTACCATTTTTTTGCATGGAAATATGTAGTTTTTTTTATTGTCGGCCTGTAATTCTTAGGAATAACTCACTGAAATCTGTCCGAACAAGAGTCTAGTAAACATTATATTATAAAACTTGAAACACAAAATCATAAATTATAATTTAATAAATAATCATAAAAAATAATAATATAATAATAATACATTTAATTCAATAATATAATCAAACCAAAAACACTGAAATTTGAAATATAGCGCCAAGTTCGCACATCGCTGAGCTCAGTCGCAGAATCGTTTTCAGTATTTGATGACGAATTTCCCCACAAATCATTATCACTCAATTCTGCAAGTAGTTCTGATTTACTATCGCTGTTCTCTAGCCGGTCTAAAACCGCTTTTGACCTAAAGGGATGCTTTTTCTCAGTTTCCAGGCAGAAAGAACAGTAAAAATGCAGGCAGGGTGCCGGACAAAGCACTCGGGACAAAATGTATGTGAAATGGTTTGATACAGTAATTTTTTACTATGTAATAATCGTTTTAAAAAAATTACATTTTTTGAAATTTTCAAATTTTCCGCCGGTTCTGGCGCCCGTACATCCCGACGTCACAGGGAACGGAACACGGAAGCCGAATGCCGGCATCAGCCGGAGGAGATGGCCGGGGACGCTGCAGGGGACACATCGTGGGAGCGCAGGACAAGGTAAGTGCTGCAGGGACTCCCGTGCAATGCTGCATGGTAAGCCCGAGTGTAGCTCGGGGTTACCGCTTTTGGTACTGAAACTCTACCCCGAGCTACACTCGGGAATACCGCCAGGGGAGTTAAAGAAAAAAAAAAGATTTTTATTTTTTTGGCGATATGGCCAATTAGGTCAGTTTGTCTCAACGCTTCCACAACCAATGAGGACGTCGGAGGATCTGTATCCATTTGACAAACTGTTGAATGTAACTATAGTTCCTAAAAAAGGGACCGCCAAGATTTATAAGATTCTTATGGATATGGAGGGTACCGATCCTCCTCAGTTGTTGGAAAAAATGGGAACAGGAGCTTGGAACAAAGCTGAACGAGCAACAAAATAATAAAATATTCAAATGAATACATGAGGTGATGAATATGAGCACAGTTGAAATGAATTCTAAATGTTTGGCGAGATGATATATTACACCGAGTAAGGCACAGAAACAAACCCCCTCACCCCCTCCAATTACTCCAGTCCATATCCAAGTTCCTATCCTTTCTCGTGATGATCTATCTATATCTGTATCCCTTCCCTCCTATCTCCTTCTCTCTGTCGGATACTCCATTACAGCTCCCTCTAATACTCTTCCACCAATATTCCAACCAGTTCCAGATATCTTTTAGATGTTTTGAAAATTAACCAGCTACTCCACATTTTCCTACAATTTTCTATTCTATCCTCCTCAATATGACACAACTCCTCCATCTTGTAGGCATTTTCCACTCTGTTAACTAATTGCCTTCCGGGCACTTGTACCCCCTTCCTGCCCAGGCCAATTTTCAGCTTTCTATCACTTTGAACGACAATTGCGTGATCATGCAACACTGTACCCATATTAAATTTTTATCACAAATAGAGCTTTCTTTTGGTGGTATGTACTCACCGCTGGGGTTTTATTGTTTTGCGCTATAAACAAAAAAAAGCAAAAAATTTGAAAAAAAAATAGTTTCTTTGTTTCTATTATAAGATTTTGCACAAACAGGTAATTTTTCTCCTTCACTGATGTGTGTTGATGATGAGCTGCACTGATTTAGGCAAGCAAGCTGATGGGCACTGATTAGCACTGATAGGCAGAACTAATGGGCACTGATAGGCAGCACTGATGGGCACTGATAGGCCAGCACTCGTTGGGCACTAATTAAGCACTGTTGGCACTGATCTGATGGGTTACTGATAGGCGGCTCTGATAGGCACTGTTAGGCAGCACTGATGGGCTGACAACTTAGCATGATGGGGAACTGATGGGCACTGATAGGCAGGCCACTGGGCACTTGATAGGCTGCACTAATGGGCATGCGACTGGCGGCACTAGAACAGGCAGCACTGATATGTAGGTGGCCTGATGATGGGTGGTTAACTGATAGTCGGGTCTGAATAGGCTGGCACTGATGGCTGAACTGATTCTGGATACTGTAGTCGGCACTGATAGGCGCTGATGGCAGGCACTGCCAGGGCACTGACTGGGTGACACTGGTGGGTGGACAAATGACTGGCGGCACTGGTGGCTGGTGGTGGCACTGACTTGTTGGGCACTTGCTGGGTGCACTTGTATGGGTGACACTGGTGGGCATGAGTGGGTGACTTCTGGGCACTGGTGGGTTGACACAGGTGGGTGGCACTTTGCTGGGCACAGTGGGCAGTGGCACTGCTGGGGCACTTGTGGGTGGATATCTGATGGGTGGCACGTGCTGGACACCAATCATCAGGGGCACTGGATCATTCGTGTCCTGATGATCTGTGGACCGATCCCCCCTCTAACAAAACTGCCACTTCTCGGCAGTACTTTCCTCACGCTCTGACAGCGTGAGGAAAGTGCAGCCAAGAACCAGCAATTGCATTTCCCAGTTTATCTAGTGTGTGTGTCATTGGACACGGCTGATCATGTGGTAAACGGTGCTGTGATTGGCCTTTTACCACATCACATGATCAGCTGGACACAGCGATCACAGAGATTGCCGGGTGTGTGCAAGGGGCTACGCAGGACGCGTTGTAGTTCTGGGGGACATGATATGTCGGCTCAGAACTGGACCGGCCACATGCAGCCGTCATTGGGCTACTCACGGTCGGCAGGTGGTCCCGTCATTTTATTCTTGGTGGGTCTGGAATAGCCCAGAATTGGGAATCAAGACCTAGCCGGAGACTTGATGACATAGTACCTGTTTTGTGTAATTTTACTCCAGGTTGTGAAATTCTGCAAAATAAAACTGTCACTCTGTCTACAGTAATCCAAGCTGCTTGGTGAATATATGTAATAATTGGTTAGCCCAGTCCTGCCATTGTGTCAGGTCTAAAATTGTGTCACCATGACATCCTTGGTTCAGCTTTTTGGTATTTATACATAAGGTGGAGATATGAAATCTCCATGGTTTAATTGCTACATGTGGACCAGGTGTCTTTTCATCCATGTATAACATAATGAGGGATTGCAGTGCATCTCCCTTATAGAGACTAAGCTTCCCTAATCTATGATTCCTTGTCAGAAAGAACACCTGGTGTAATCCTGCTGAATGATAGGGATATGATTTCCCTCATGAACATGCAAAACAGCTCATCAATTGGTTAGACATGGCTGGGGGATATGATATCATGTATTTTTAATAACCGATAAGGGGGGGGGGAAATTCCATGTCAGAATACAGCAGGGGATCATACTTGATCTCCATGTATAATTACATAAGGGGGGGATCTCCATGTATAATGGATAATGGGGGATATGATCTCATGTATAATACATAAGGGGGGATATGATCTGTATGATCTCCATGTATAATACATAAGGGGGGATATGATCTCACCATGTATAATACATAAGGGGGGTATGATCTCCATGTATAATTACATAAGGGGGGGATATGATCTCCATGTATGATAATATACATAAGGGGGATATGATCTCCATGTATAATACATAAGGGGGGGATATGATCATAAGGGGGATCCATAAGGGGGGGAATATAATGTATGATAATACATAAGGGGGGGATATGATCTCCATGTATAATACATAAGGGGGGATATGATCTCCATGTATAAATACATAAGGGGGGGTATGATATGATCTACATTAAGGGGGGATATGATCTCCATGTATATTCATAAGGGGGGGATATGATCTCCATGTATACATACATAAGGGGGGATATGATCACCATGTATAATACATAAGGGGGGATATGATCTCCATGTATAATACATAAGGGGGGATATTGATCTCCATGTATAATACATAAGGGGGGATATATGATCTCCATGTATAATACATAAGGGGGGATATGATCTCCATGTATAATACATAAGGGGGGATATGATCTCCATGTATATTACATATGGGGGGGGATATGATCTCCATGTATAATACATAAGGGGGGGATATGATTCTCCATGTATAATACATAAGGGGGGGATATGATCACCATGTATAATACATTAAGGGGGGGATATGATCTCCATGTATAATACATAAGGGGGGATAATGATCTCCATGTATAATACATAAGGGGGGATATGATCACCATGTATAATACATAAGGGGGGATATGATCTCCATGTATAATACATAAGGGGGATATGATCAAACATGTATAATACATAAGGGGGGGATATGATCTCCATGTATAATACATAAGGGGGATATGATCTCCATGTATAATACATAAGGGGGGGGATATGATCTCCACGTATAATACATAAGGGGGATATGATCTCCATGTATAATACATAAGGGGGGCGGGATATGATCTCCATGTATAATACATAAGGGGGATATGATCTCCATGTGGTGTAGAGTCACCCTGAGGTCATCACAGAGCACAAGGGGGCGCTCTTTATGTCTGGAGGAAAAGAGATTTAATCTCCAAATGCAGAAAAGGTTTCTTCACAGTAAGAGCTGTGAAAATGTGGAATAGACTCCCTCAGGAGTTGGTTCTGGCCAGCTCAGTGGATTGCTTTAAAAAAGTCCTGGATTATTTCCTAGATACACAGAATATAATGATATAGATCTATGCTTGCCCCAAGCATGTTTGAAAGTATTTACTGTTGGTTGGCTCATTATCTCTGCTGGGAGTTTATTCCAAGCATCAACCGCTGTTTCACTAAATAAATACTTTCTGAGATTAGTTTTGAACTTTCCTCCAGCTAGTTTAAGGTCATGTTCCCTACCTTCTTGATTTTGGTTTTGTGTTGAAAATACTGCCCTTATTCTATCCAAAAAAAAGTTCTTGCTTTGGAGATGCTTGAGGTGAACTGACCCTTTGGATGATCAACCTATTATTATGTTCACAGGGGATGTCCTTCAACTGACATGAATACTATGTTCAGTCTATATGCCATCATCTGGATCCTCGTTCTACCTCGCTTAATTCTAGTATTATACTCTACGGATCAGAGGTGCCGAATGGATATAACACAGCTTGAGGGAGTAACACAGCCAGGGGATATCATCATTGGAGTGTTGCTGCCTCTCCATCTTGACAAGGTCTACCAGAAAGTTGACTACACTGAAAGGCCACCTAGAACCACCTGCACAATGTAAGTAAAGAGTAAAAGTTGACCTATCATATACAATATTTGCTTTTGAGCTCATGCCATGGTAATGTTGTAGCTGCTAATTGGCTGTAATTTTCATCCTGGTCACCACAGCTTGCTCATCCTTGCATGCTCAAGGCATACATAAAGGCAGTAAGAAGAGACTACAATGCAGTTAAGGAGTGAACACACTAGATTTCCCAGAACTAAGGCTGCTGTTAAAAATCACAGGGCCCCATACAGCCAACCTGACAAATCCACCCTCAAAAAAAAAAACACAGTTTACTATGCTTCAGTTATGAATGAACGCAGTGAGTGATCATTGTGTTCATTCAGGAAAGGAAGGGGCTGGTAAATGTGACACATTTACTGGACCCTTCCCCCACTCTCCATTCTGAAGAATCCTATTGTGTGCTTGTAGATGTCGGTGGAAAGGAGAGGAGAGAAGCCGGCATCACTGCAGAGTGGGCGCACACAGGGGGCCTGGGCAGCAGAGTGAAATGTATATAAAGGAGACCCCTTTGACCCCAAAATGCATTGCATTGTTAAAAACAAATTATTATTACCACGTATGTTAAGTCATTATTTGTTCTCTCTTCTTCTTCTTCCTACATGCCACACAATGGAGCCAAGTAAAAGAATAGAGGTGCAGCATGGTTCAAACACGATATACCACTGCTGTGAGCTCAATAATTCTACTGGGATTTGTTTCAAATGCTGACAAGCACTTACAAAAATTTGCCAGGCCATACTTGATTATTTCCTCTACTGCCTTGATGGTGGCCCTGAATATGTGTATATAGCTGCTTTGCAGTAGTTCCAGGAGTTCCAGGTTTCATGTATAGTTTTTCCTTTGAAGGTTCCATTTTGAAAATTATCAGCAACTTCAATCCATAATTTTCGCAGTTGAAGAGATCAATAGCAATCCCAATATCCTGTCAAATCTAACCTTGGGATTTCAAGCTTATGATTCCTGTGACGTACTTCGCCAGGACTTACAGGGCACCTTGGAATTACTGAGTGGAAACCACAACTCCATCCCTAACTATCGTTGTACTCTGGAGGTTCCTCTTAGTGCTGTGATTGGACCATCTGTTTCTACGCATTCTATCCTTGTAGCACATATTCTGGGCTTGTACAGATATCCCCAGGTATATATTAGTTAATTTTTTTGTACCAAAAGCCTTCTTGGAGAGTCTGTCAGGTCCCTACCCAAATGCATATGGCCCTCACCTGCAATAAAAGAGGTATTACTCTCATATCTCTGACAGTCTTTGTCTCCAACCTACCCACTGTTCCAGGTTCTTCAGCATCCAACATTGTGG